GAGGCAAAGCAGCGTTTCGTGTCGCCCTGCTTAAGAGGCTGATTTTATTTTGGGATTTGTTTGGGGTCTTTGCTACCGGCGTTTTTCTGCGCTAGGGCATGAATCAGCTGAGGTGCACGGGGCAGACACAGAGTTTGCCCTGTTTCCCCCAGAGATTCTGCACGTGGCCACTGGCGTTAAGGCAGGACTCTACCAAAAAGGCAAAATAACCCCTTTTCAGTTGGTAGCCTCAGCCTCGCAACCAAACTCCTGCGTATTCACCAACGGAGGAGTGATTGCCCTTGGACACTGGCTCCGGGAGCCAGCAGCAGGTTGGGCACGTGGCGTGTGTGCAACAAATCCAGCACGTCTTCCTTGAGTTAGGCAGGTTGGATGTTTCCCTTTCACTGGAGAACTGACCTGTGTATGCACAGGGGCCGGTTCTCAGGCTGAAGCTGGGCAGAGCCGCCGTGGATGAGCAGCCACAGCCCTCCTTTGCCATTCAAAAATGCCATCTTTCTTCCCTTTTCTTTTTACAGAGCCCTCCTCTCAACTGCAGTTGGTCAGGAGGCAAGAGAATTCCGGATTAGCTATAGCCCTGGGGAGGTTTCAAGGTGAGAATTATCCACCTCCCAGCAACTTCCAGTCCCTCCACCTCTCAGATCCCCTCTAAGTCACCCTCAGCCCCTCTAAGTTCCCCGTCTGCCTTCAGATCAGCCCGATTTCCCTCTGGACACATCAAGGAAAGGCTGAGCACTGGGCCAGAATGGCTTTCCCCTCCTCAGTCTGGATGTTCGGTTTGAACCCCGAATATCCTGGACTTCCAACAGGAGAGCGCCGTGCCCAGCCCCAAGGAATCTTCAGTGACAGTAACCATCATCATGCCCATTATCAACATGGGCAACACAATGTATTTTTCCTTATTTTCTCAGCAGTGACCTACTGCAGCTGGAGCTCATTTTTCTCCCTCTTCGTATTTTTCTCCGCTGCTAAAATACCAATCTCAGGAAAGTGCTTGTTGTGGCAAATTTCACCCCCCGTAATATATTGTCCATTACATTTCCAACTGGAAATGTCCAAATTTCTAACTGGGAGAGTGCCTGGTGATCTCGGGAACCTCCTGCTGCTGGGGCCATCAGCGCTTGTGCCCCGTTGCCAGCTCCGGCACCAGGCTCCCTGTTTTGGTCTCATAAACGCATCAGTCGTTTGGAGACCTCAGCCCAGACCAAGCCAGGTTGTCCCCTCTCAGCTGGGCCATTTGTACAGCCAACAAGACACAGTCTGTGCCACAAGAGTCCCATTCCCACGACAGCATGAGGTGGGAGCATGAGGTGTGTTCCTGGAGGGACACAAGGTCCCGGGAGCATTTTCCCACCCAGCGAGGTTTCTCCTTCACCCTCTTCAGAAGGTTACCTACCTGGGTGACCCTCCTGGGGACACCCAGCCAGTGTCCTTGGCCTGCCTCAGCAGGGTGATGAGGGGGACAGGGGAGGGAGACTGACAGCTTTGAAAGACTTCAATTAAAAATCCAATAGCTGAAACAACCCCCAAAGAAGTTTGGGTTTGTTTGGTTTTTTTAAGGGAGAAAGCCCCTTCCCTAATCATAACTGTTAAAATTGCTAAAATTAAAATTGTTAAAATTTTTAATAAAGGCTACCAACAATCCTCAGAAGGTTACCTGCCTGGGTGACCCTCCTGGGGACAGCCAGCCAGTGTCCTTGGCCTGCCTCAGCAGGGTGATGAGGGGGACAGGGGAGGGAGACTGACAGCTTTGAAAGACTTCAATTAAAAATCCAATAGCTGAAACAACCCCCAAAGAAGTTTGGGTTTGTTTTTTTTTTTTTAAGGGAGAAAACCCCTTCCCTGATTCCAATAGCTGAAACAACCCCCAAAGAAGTTTGGGTTTGTTTGGTTTTTTTAAGGGAGAAAGCCCCTTCCCTAATCATAACTGTTAAAATTGCTAAAATTAAAATTGTTAAAATTTTTAATAAAGGCTACCAACAATCAAACAGTCAAGAAAAGAACAGAAACCAGAAGCTTGACTGCACAAAAGCCTCCCTCCTGTTACCTGGCGTGCTTTGCTCTGGGCACCTGCCTGCCTTTGAGCAGCTTCCCCTGGGTTGGCACAGCACCTCTTGGTGGCACTTCAGCCCTAAATAACTTGCAGAAGAGCATTTTTTCTGCTGTGGTTTCGCCTGTCCTCTGTCTGGTCTGTCCCTGGCTGGGAAAGGGGATGCTCCTGGCCAGCTGCAGCAGGCTGTGCCTTACGTGTTTGTGGAACAATAGGGTCTCCCTCTGGTGGCAAATTCCACCCGAGGTGTGCTGACACCGCAGGCAGGGATGGGGCTGCAGGACAGCAGAGCTGGCTTCTAGCCTGCTGCCCAGGCGTGGGGCATCTCTGCAGCCCCCACGGGCTGGCTGTGGGGATGAAAGACCTCGTGACCCCACCACCGCTCTCCTCTGCCTGGGCAGGGGGTCCCCAGGGTACCTCGAGAGGTGTGAACTTCATGCATAGAATCATAGACTCATAGAATGGTTTGGGTTGGAAGGGACCTCAAAGATCATGAAGTTCCAACCCCCTGCCCTGGGCAGAGACACCTCCCACCAGACCAGGTTGCTCAAAGCCCCATCAAGCCTGGCCTTGAACCCCTCCACAGATGGGACAGCTTCTCTGGGCAACCTGTTCCAGTGTCTCACCACCCTCATAGTAAAACATTTCTTCCTGAGATCTAATCTGAATCTTTTTTCTTCCAATTTAAAACCGTTTCCCCTTGTCCTATCACTACACCTCCTGGCAAAGAGTCCCTCCCCAGCTCTTCTATAGGCACCCTTCAGGTATTGAAAGGCCGCTATAAGGTCTCCCCAGAGCCTTCTCTTCTCCAGGCAGAAGCCTCTGGAGGTCTGGGCACATGATGCATCCCATCATGGCATGGATGGAGCCCAAACAATCTCAGCCCTGAGGCCAGGTCCCCCCCCCTGGGTTCGGGACACAGTGCCTTGACCACATGCAGGACTCCTTCAGCTTGCCCGCACCCGGCAAGCGCTCGCAGAGGGATGTCTTCGCCTGGGGGCTGTGGCAGATGCTACGCATCGAGCTGTCGTTTGGGGTTTTGGCACTTTTTGTGACAGTCTTGGAAGGGAATAACTCAGGCACTCGCACACCATCCCACCAGGAGGCTAATTAGACTCTGCGCTGTGTCTCTGTCTGACCCCGGCGCTCGTGTCTCGCCCATCCCAGACATCCCTGGCACTTTTTGTGACAGTCTTGGAAGGGAATAACTCAGGCACTCGCACACCATCCCATCAGGAGGCTAATTAGACTCTGCGCTGTGTCTCTGTCTGACCCCGGCGCTCATGTCTCGCCCATCCCAGACATCCCCCCGAGGCCCCGTCTCCGTGGGGTGCAGGGGTGCTGCCCCGTCCTGCCCAGGATGGGGGAGCTGGGTCCCCACGCAGCAGGGTGCTGTGAACCTGGCCAACAGCAAATACCAGCCTGAGCGTGGGACACCGGGAGATGGGGACACGAGGGTGCATCCAGCCCTGAAGCACCCCAAAGGCCCAGGTTTTAGGAACCAGAAGGTCCTGCAGGGCTGGATGTGGGTGGCAGAAGAAAACAGCCACCTATGGGGACACGGCTCGGCATTTTCAGGCTATTTCAGCCTTTTTATGATGGGCTGCCACCATGGTGGTGGGCATTTCCACCTACCTAGACCCCTCCCCAGCACAGGAGCTCAGCACAGGTAACCAGCTTCTTCCCATTCCTCAGCAGAAGGGCTTTTTGGCAGCCCTGTACAGAGGATAGACTGGTCTCTTCAGGCTTGTGAGCAGTAAGATTTCAGCGTTGGGGATATGAAGGGTTCCTCTAACCTCCCAGACCAGCAGAGTTCCAAGAGATACAGAGCTCTTGTTCCCATTCTCCCTTCTTCCCTGAGAGGGGTTGTATTTCCCCAGCTGCCGCGGCGTCGGGGTGGACAGAAAGGCCACGTGTGCTGTGTCGCAGCTTTAAGGGGGTTGCTGTCAAGTCATCTTTCCCAAAGCTGCTCTGCCACATGCTTGGATGTAGCTTTCAACAGCAGGGGACTAGCCAGAGCCGTTAGTCACCTGTTTCAGGTGACTCAGTCTGCCCTCGCATCCTTTAAGATGTAGTCAGTGACAGTCTGGCAGCAGATCTTGCCCTGAGACAGTCCTCTCGCCTACTTAAAATCCCCTCCTTTCCCTCCCGTGCTTTGTAGTCGGTTGCAAAGACCAGCTCTAGCTGGAGGCTTTGCAGCCAGCGGAGGCAAAACTGAACTTTGCCACCCCGAGGTTGAAGGCAAAATAATTTCCTGGGGTGGGATGTCAAAGTTGGCATCCTTCTCCCTCCCTCCCTCCCTCCCTCCCACAAAGACACACTCTCTGCAAAAAGCCAGGCGTGTATTCTCCTGCCAGGATATTTCCTCCCTGCCCCACTCTAGGACCTTCCCCTTCTCCAGACAATGAAGGGACCGAAGCCAATGGCAGTGCCTTGTGGAGCCAGGGAATGCAAAAGCCCAGTGGAGCCCGTCCTGAATGCACCCCAGCCAGCTGGACAGGAGGGGGATAACGAACCCCCGTGGGTGGGCTGTGAGGGGCAACTCTGCTGCCAGCCCCCAGCTTGCCCGTGGCCAGGTGAGAAGGGTGGGAGCTGGCCTGGGGCTGGGGGGGGAAGTGGCCAGAGCCAGTCTGGAGCATCAGGAGTTACCCAGTGGTACCCCAACTGCCCCGATGCAGCAGAATCCCAAATCTGCACGTGCAATTAGGCATGGGGAGCAGGGCTACAAGGCTCTCCCAGCAGCACAGGGTCCCTGAGCTGGTGGTGGCATGAATCCAGAAGCTGGCACAGAGAGATTCCTCCCAGCCAAAGGGCCCCCAAGATCCCACCGGGGCTCCCGCCGCTCACGGGCAACCCCCAGATGCTGTCTGAGGCTGGGGGACACCGGGAGAAGCGATGGTGCTCTGCCAGGCCTTGAGGGAATGAGGTCAGCAGCGTGTGCCCACGGTAGTCGCTTTTTATTAAGGTTTATTATTATAAAAATATATCATAAAACATTGGGGCACGCGTGTCCGTTTCCGCCCCGGGGCAGAAGGCTGGGACGGAGCGGGTCCCGTGGCACAGCTTGTCTGGCTGCTGGGTCAAAGAGCCAGAAACCACTCCAGGGGGGGGAATGTGCTCCCTGGGGCTGGGGCAGAGCTGGTGATGCTCTGAGCAACGGCTGGGGATGGAGGCGTTCGCTGCCCTGCATCCCACAGTCCTCAGAGACAGGGGAAGGAAAAAGAAAACTGAGAGCAAGGGGAAAAAAAAAAAAAAAAAGAAGGAAGACTGAGTCTCTTCTGTCACCGCTTTCCAATCCAATGGAGGTAAAGCATCCCTCTGGGCAGTGTGAGTCAATGTCCCAACGTCCCGACCACACTCTCCTGAGCAGGGATTTGCTGTGGGAGGATGTCACCTCTCCCTATCCAGGCTGTCTCCTCGTCCTTGTCCGGAGGCAGTGGCACTTCAGGTACAGTTTGGTGGCACTTTGGGCTTTGGTTACAGTTTGGAGGTGCTTATTCCAAGAGTCACTGTCTCTTGACTGCTGCTCCGTGGCTCTAGGAAGAGGAGGCTGGGATAGAGAGTCCATGGATGGTGTTTAGAGGGTCTGGAGATTTCCCTACAGGGCTGGCAGTTTTTCTGTCCACAACTGCAAGAAGGATAGAGGGGGGAAAAAAAAGACAACAAGAAGGCAAGGGATTGATGGAGTCCAAACACATTGCTGCTGCCAGGCATGTTCCACATCTGCACGCATGCAGGACCTCTTTTGCCAGCTCCCCAAAAATGGCTCTGCCCCACCAGACCCCCCATCTCCCTGCCCTCAGAAGAAGCACCCCTTCGGAAAGGGACTCTCAGGCTCCCAGTACCAGAGCTCTCCAAGGGAAATGGAGAGGAAAGGGGGAATGCATCCCTGAACGATGGGGACCTTGGTGACAGCAGACACCTTCCACCACCGGTGGGGATGTGGGGAGGTGACCCTGACCCATCCCAGCCACACGAAGAACACGTCCCATGCACTTTCTTAAAACCTGTTACTGGGGTGCCCTGGGAGGGGACTGCTGGCCCAGTGCCGGGCAGGGGAGAGGACCCTCATGCCATGCCAGCTGTGGGTAAACTCTTGGTGAGCTCCTCCCCAGCCCTAGCTCATCCCAGGCACGGGGCTGGGCCAGGCTCCCCGTATCCCTCCACACCCCCCACTCACGGGACTGGGAAGCGGGGAGGGGATGCCAAGTGTCCCGGGGCTGCTGTGGGCATTGGGACAAACGGGGAGATTTTTCCGGGGAAATAACGGCTGCGAAATCGGAAAAGGCCTGAATTGGAGGGTGAAATTGCCCAGCTGAGTTTATCTTTTTTTTTTTTTTTTTGACCATCTCTCTCTCTTTCTTTTTCTCTTTCTTTCTTTATTTCTTTGACCATCTCTCTCTCTTTCTTTTTCTCTTTTTCTTTCTTCCTTTATTTCTTTCTCTCTTTCTCTATTTCTCTTTCTCTTTCTTTCTTTTTCTCTTTCTCTCTCTCTTTCTCTTTCTTTCTTTTTCTCTTTCTCTCTCTCTTTCTCTTTCTTTCTTTTTCTCTTTCTCTCTCTCTCTCTTTCTTTCTTTTCTCTCTCTTTCTTTCTTTTCTCTCTCTTTCTTTCTTTTCTCTCTCTTTCTCTCTTTTCTCTCTCTTTCTCTCTTTCTTTCTCTCTCTTTCTCTCTTTCTTTCTCTCTCTTTCTCTCTTTCTTTCTCTCTCTTTCTCTCTCTTTCTCTCTCTTTCTCTCTCTTTCTCTCTTTTCTCTTTCTTTCTCTCTTTCTCTTTCTTTCTCTCTTTTCTCTTTCTTTCTCTCTTTTCTCTTTCTTTCTCTCTTTTCTCTTTCTTTCTCTCTTTTCTCTTTCTCTCTTTCTTTCTCTTTCTCTCTTTCTTTTCTCTTTCTCTCTTTCTTTTCTCTTTCTTTCTTTCTTTTCTCTTTCTCTCTTTCTCTCTCTCTTTCTCCCTCTCTTTCTTCCTTCCTTCCTTCCTTCCTTCCTTTCCTTCTTTCTTCCTCCCTTCCTTCCTCCCTTCCATCTTTCTTTCTCTCCTTCTTTCTTTCTTTCTCTCCTTCTTTCTTTCTTTCTCTCCTTCTTTCTTTCTTTCTCTCCTTCTTTCTTTCTTTCTCTCCTTCTTTCTTTCTTTCTCTCCTTCTTTCTTTCTTTCTCTCCTTCTTTCTTTCTTTCTCTCCTTCTTTCTTTCTTTCTCTCCTTCTTTCTTTCTTAGTTTCTCCCCTCTCCACTTGCACCTGAACCTTCTCTCTAGCCACCAGGTGGACTGAGGACTTGAATCTACGGCAGCAACCAAACACAGTAAATGGAAGCGAAGGATGTTGCAGAATTTTACTCACGAATGCAGTACAATAAGAAAGCGCTAAACAGTGAAATTATGTGTTTCAGCCCCTTTTTTAAAACACATGAATTGAAAGAAAGAGAAAAAAAAAAAAAAAGCATTTAAAAGGGGAAAAAAAAAATACTAACCACCATAAACAAACTAAAAAAAACAACCAACCAGAGCCAACCAAAAAACCCTACCAAAAACCAAACAAAACAAAACAAACTAAAAAAAAAAAACAAAAAAAACAACCAGAGCCAACCAAAAACCCTACCAAAAACCAAACAAAATCGTTTAAAGACAGCCTGTGGGCCTTTCGGCAGGGGCAGCTTGAAGATCGGCGAGTCAGAAAACTCCGGCTCCGAGTCACTTAAAACGTGAGGAAAATCCCTCGAAAAATACACTAAACACGCGCGGATCATCTTTCCTGCTTCGTTCGATTTCTTTCCTCCTTTCCTTACATTTTTCTTTCCTTCTCTCTCTCTTTTCTTTTCTTTCTTTCCCTTTTTCTTTTCTTTTCCTTCCTCGCTTTCTCGCGCTCTGTTAATTTTTTTTTCCAAAGAATTGCTGTACTATTATCTATTTTCATCCATTGATAACTCGCAATAACTTATCCTCGGCACAGCTGATGTGATAACTCGCAGCAGGTTGCCATAGTGAGGTAGAAACAGTAAAGGGTCGTATTAAACAAAAAAATAAAATAAAAACAACGACAGCAACAAAAAGGAAAAAAAAAAAAGAAAAGAAAAGAAATGGAATAATAAGTGGGAAATTAAGAGCAAATGTGAAATAGAATAGAAAGTCTAATACCACGGAAAAGGAGAAAGATATCGAGGGGGATTTTATATCCAGAAGAGAGGAATTGAGATTTTTAAAACGAAACCGCCTACCGAGGAAATAAGCTTCCATCAACGAACCGAAATAATTAGCAGGAGATAAAAGAAACAATTAACAGCCTTTAGTATATGCGTTGAAATCAAACCCATGTGACTCTCATAGGGAGTTTATCTTTCAATAATACACCCCACGGCAGGGGATTTGCAACCTAAACGATTTCTGGTGGAGATTTCTGCCTTTCTGCTTTTATCTGCGGGGCTCCTCGGGAAAATGGATGCCGTTAGTACCTCTTTTTCTCGTTGTTAATATCGGGAGGACCCGGGGCAAAACCTCCGCCGTGCGATCCCGCCCTGTCCCCAAATTCCGCCGGGAAAGCCCGTCCCTGGCCGGGAGGGGGGACGGAAAGCGGAGGATTCACCCGAAATCTTCCCTCTTCCCCGGCGATTCCCAGCGCCCACGAGTGCGAGTGACGGAGGGAAAAATGATTTCCAGTTTATAAATCCCGACGTGCCGGCGGAAGGGCGGGCGCGGGGGAGCGGACCGGGACCTATGGAACCTATCGGTGGGGAGCACCGGGGGGGGGGTCCCAGCCCTCGGCGGTAGCGGGGGTGACAGAGAGGACCGGCTCCCCCCGACGGGAGGGAAGACAAACCCCGGGGAGCGCAGCCGCCAGCCCCAGAGCCCTCCCGGGGTGGGTGTGTGTGTTGGGGGGGTAAATATTCTGAATATTTAAAACACCCAGCAAGGGTGTTTTTCTGCCTGAAAGTGAGGGGATCCGCACCGGGTCCCTTAGCTCCCCC